TGTATTGAACCACTAAACTCCATACCATAGGCTGAACACTGTCCATTACCGAGCCCGGAAGGAAAAGGTGGAGAAAAGAGTCATACCTGATAAAACTTACTGCAACTTCATGGATGTCTCATGATGAAACTATGGAGAAGTAACTGATTATGTGAAGTGATCAGAAAACAAGCATAAGTGGCAATGATAATATATCTTGCGTTAAACTGAGAAACATGATTACCAGTTGAACAACTAACAGGTGGATACAAGGTAAAACACTTTACAGTCACTGCTTGGCTGCCTCCTTAACTTTGTTTTGCGACTTTTAAAATAGGAAAGCCTTCTGTTTACTATTGTTTAACTTGATGTGCAATTCCTGCACTAACACAAATAACACATATTTTTCAAATAATTCTGCCTGATATTGCCACATAGTGGACCTCATTTTCAGAAGAGAGGTTGAAACACAGTAATAGGTCCCATTTGCAGGACTCCAGAGTCACTCAGAAGGGGCACAGTTAAACCTTCTGTAATCTGCATTTTCATATGATGACTTGAGATCCAAAAAGCTATTTCCTATCATCACACTCTTTTCTGCTCAATATGTGTACACCATGTAAATGTTTGAAAAATTTAAGAGATACGGCAGAATTCTCTCATTTCTACCCAAGATATAATTTGTTCCACCAAGTCATGCTGCATCTCTACTGATGTGCTGGAACACATACACTTGATAAACCTCCTGGAATATTTGGCTGTGAAAGATTTCATCTTACAACTACCTTTTATCAATAGAAATTACCATTCTAACACTAATCATGGTAACTTCAGTCTACCTTTTTTTTTTTTCAAACTCTAAGAAGACATTATTTCCCACATTGTTATGTGGGGAAAGTCTTCCTTTCCTTTTTAAAAAAATACMTCTGATCTCTCTCACCTGACCTTATACGGGATGAAAGGACACTCAAGTGCCTAAACTGTTAAGCTACTACATAAGTGTAAGCTGCTGATCGTAAAAATTCAGTCATGTCTTTATAAAAAGCTAATTTCACAGACATTAAAAATACTTCATTTTCTTTTTCAAAAAATGCTTAGAAGATCCTACTTCTGAGACACCTAATTCATTCATAACTGAGAACAGAAAAAATGCASACCGAAACTTGTAATCTTTGTCTTTTAAACAACATATTCCATGTACAGCTCTATTTTGATCTAAATTTTACTTGTAGTAAAGTACCATTCATCCCACCACAAATCAATTATTTTTAACTTTTGAAAGGAGTATTTGTTAACAGTACTGAAAGCGTCTAATACTCTGTACTTTCTATTACCAGGAATAACACTGATCAAGAATAAAAGGTCAAGTTTAAGTAATTAATTTGCAGGTTAAAATGGGAACATCTACGTCTTTGCTCCAAGTATGAATACKGATGTGGGAATGACATGTTGAAGAAATGTGTATGAACATTTTTGCCTTTGTTTATATATACTGTTACTGGTTTTATGAAAGAGCACTTGTAAACAAAATACTTCCATAGTTTCACATACAAGGTAATGAGAAAAAAATTCACTCTTCTGATAATTTTTAATATCCCTGGGATAAGAAGTCACTAAGAAGAGTAAAAATGCACTAGGACTGTTGCATTTGACACTTTGGGAGCCACATTTCCATGCATTTAAAAAACAGCTTTATTTTTCAAACCCACTAAGTATGAGAGGGTGGGGACAATACAGGTGAACTGAGTAAGCAGTAATGGTGGGATCATTTGTAGGTTTATGTGACATTAACAATGTAAGTCCAGTGAACGGCACCCTCCAAGTACTGCATGTCACTGCATGAAAAATGCAGCAGGACCATAGCCCTACTTGTCACACATCTACTGCCACTTGCTTATTCAATCTGTATCAACCAAAAAGTAGGAATGTCTGCCACTGTTGTGCTACTATACAGGAAATTAGATAGCTTTTCATTAACAAAGTAAAATAAAGTATTCTTTTGCAATTTCCTAAAAGACAAAGATTGCACCTTTTTGTCATACAATTCCTGAGTGGCACAGCAGACATTTTCTGAATCTTCATGCTATCAGATACTTACCTGACAACATCCCTTTCTCACATCAAACAAAAACGTTGTTTTGTCTCAAAAAGTGATCTACAAGGTTTTCTGATAAGGCACTACAGCAAAGCTTAGTGGCAAAACTGGACATAAGTTGATTGTCCTACAATTCTCACACTTTTGACAGCCTCTTAGTGCAGCCAGAGCATTGTTATTTAGTTTCTTATTGAGGGTCAGTCTTCAAACCTCTCTTTTGCATATGATTCAGCACATCCCTTCTGCATACAATGAGGAGCATCATGTGGTTGTTAACAGAAAGCAGTTTCAGTGCATCCCCCATTGTACTGGAATTCTCACCTGACAGGTCATGGCTTTCAGAGTCATCTACATACCACATCATTAAAAAGAGACACTCATGTTCCTGAATTCTATATTTGTCATTCTTTGGTCAAGATGCCAACTTCTGATACTCAGTGTGACACATTTAGATACCAGCTGTATGAAGTTTCCCAGGATCATTCTGGGAATGTAATTTTGGTCCAAGAATTGAATCTGAAAACCACAGAAGTAAGAGACCATGCACATCAGCATAACACAGTAATTACTCAGCTATTTTCTTCTTCTCATTTTACATGACTAAATAGGATATTATTCCAAACCTGTGGAGTTCAGGAAACAGCACGTGGCTCTATTCCTTAAATAACTGAAAATAAATCAACACAAATAATGACCATTTTAAATCCTTTTCAAACCCATGCAGCAGAATTTCAAGTTAATTCTCAGGAACTAAATATGGACATAAGTATCACAGAAAATCCCAATAACTATGGGTATAAGGACCCAAAAGTGGAACCCATCACTTTACCACATAAGGTGCTTATTAAAAAAAAAAAAAAAAAAAGGAAGTCATTCACTGCACTCTTTTTCCTGGTTTCTGCAGAGATAGTCAGGCACTGCACAACTCATCATTCTGAAGCAGCATAAGCATGCCATCTGTAGTTCTTTAAAAACTTTGACAGATGACTGTCATACTTTTGAATTCCTAATCCATGTCCCTGTAACATACAGCAAAGTTCTAGCATCTACCAGCGAATTCCACACAGATGTGCTTCCACAAAATACAGCAAACATATGCATTTCAAATTACCAACAGCTATTCAAACAGAATAACCTCAAAGTATTTAAAATCTATTTTAAGCTTACAATTGCAAGCAATTCATTTAATGTTTAAGTGAAGGAGTTTTTCCCTTCAAGAGAAGTTATTGCTTATTAAGATACATAAGCATGGTTAGTTCACAAATCAGACTGGTAAGACATGGCTTTGAGCCTAACCCTCCATGCAACTCTTCAACAAATAGATTTTGATAATTTTTTTTAAATCCCAAAGAATTCAACACTAATTCAAGGAAGGGATTAAAAATTTCAATGAAAGGATTAAAAAGGAGGAGTAATAAATATATATATGGAAATGCCTATTCACAAAATAGCAAAAAGGTACTTCTCCAGAGAGCTTACTTATAGAAAGCCAAAATTTATAAAAAAAGGTAAGCTTTCTGAAAGAACTCATAATAGCAATGAAAACAGCTCTTGGCCTTTGCTTTCCCAATAGAACACAGTCAGGAAAACCTGACTTGTATTCTTTTCACTGATAATGTATATGCATCGGAAGAATTTTGGGGCAGCCTAACAAATACTTCATGTCTGCAAGTCCACAACAATGAGATTTTGATCTTCTCTGAAGTGAAATTTTACCTTTAGTATGAAATCATTCTAACATAATAAATTACGTAACTACAAGAACTAAATGAACCATTGCAACTTAAGAGACCCAGCCATTACACTGAATTGTCAAATTAAATTTATGATGAACCATTCATTGGAACTGTAAGAAAGTCTCCCCCACAAAATTCCTACAAATAGCAAAAGTTATCTCTCATTTTTGCTGTTCTCCAAAGCAAGTGCTAAAATACAGATAAAATAAAGAATTCAAATTGGAATTCTTTCCCAATGTGAAATCTTTGCAGTACCATCTGCTCCCCAAGGGGTTGGGGTGGAAATCAAACAGAACGTCTTTTCGTTTGAGCATTCTTGAAACAGACTAAAAAGAACCCAGCCTTCATTATACCGTCATATGTTGGCACCAGTGAAAATACATAATGCAATTTTCCTGTGTTCAGATAAAAAGACCTTGCATAACAGTTTACCTTCTTTTGAGGGTCACATATTTGAAATTTAACTTTTTCTTAATAGGTTCTTCTACACCCTAAGAGAGTCTTTGAAATAATCCCCATGCAACTCCAGTATTCATTACATTAGTTATGAAGATGAGAATAAATTACATGAATTTAAAGAAATTACCATTCTTAAATGAAAAGCAGAAAATATCAAGCACTGCAATTGCCCTGTTTCCAACTCCTGAAACACTTATACCTACATTATTGAATCTTACACATACATAATTTCCATATGTAACACACTTGCTTCTCTTCAAATCAAATGTTTCAGTACACAAGATGAGTCTGTTATTAGTCATGAATACACATTAACATTGTAAAAAAAGGAAATACTGAAAAAAAAACCAACCTAAAAAGAATGAAGTTCATATTCTAAAAGCATGAGGTAAGAATGCAGTTACGTTGTGCAACGAAAAAAATTAGCAAGCTTTTGGCTACTTACATAATATTATCATAATTACTTATTTATTTTCCATGGCAAAGATAAGGAGGTATTAGAGATAGTACTGAATTACTCCTTTAAGACAAAACTTGCAATTTTTAAGTGCTATGAAACAAGCAATTTAAATGCATTAAAATAGTATTAAAACACATTATTTGGATCAATTTTTAAATTCTGTGTCTTTATTGCTAAAAACCTGTAGTTCATAAACTTATTCTTCAGCTTTCATGCAATTAATGTGTTTTCATTTTTGAACATCTAGGAATGACAGACTTAATTAAATTACCTCTGGTATTCCCAGTTTTCTACATGCATCCAAAAAGTTTTCCACATTTCTCCTGCATTTGGCCATGCTAAGTTTAGGCTGTAAAACAAAACAAARCAAAAGTCTGGCAAAAAGTCAAAAACATTCATTTGGTCAACTCACCTATCGCATTATTCTTGTACTGATGCACCATTTCCACATTTCTCCTGATAACAATGCCTAAAATTCTGCACAACTGTTTTTTCTACTACTTTAAAAACATCTTGCCTACAAATACAAACTGAGTACATACATTCTGGATGCCATGTGCTTCTACTTAGCTCTTAAAGTCCCCAGCACATTTAGATCTCCATTTGTTCACACTCAGCTTGTGAGGTTCTAAAATCTGCCTATTACAAAGATTTATAACAGTCAACATTTCTTCTCTGGACATAAAATTAACTGATGAAGGATTTTAACGTACATCAGGGAGAACAGACTTAACTGCAACTAACAGTCGCCCTCCTTTTAAATTTTGTATGCACTCACAAATTTATGGTAACTATATACAATATTAATGTCTCTTAAGAATAAATTTCCTATTACTTTAAAATCTCAAATAGTTCTATAATTTGTCTCATTCAGGATTACTCACCATATACTTACAAAAGTATCATGTTACCAAAAAGAAAAACCAAAACCCAAACTTCTCCCAATTTAATTTTTCAATACCAGATGTGAAACAACAGCAATTCCTGAATATCCACTTAAGCCAAGAATTCACTACAGTAGCAAGCAATTCAAATAACTAATTTTCTAGGCTAAAGTAATTTGAAAGCTGTTTCAAGGGAGAGAACATCAATATAAAGTGGAAACAAAATGAACAAAAAAATCTAAATACATGCTTTTTGTTACAGAAAACCGTACAAAATATTTCTTTTCAAAAATCAGCAGAAGTTTTTACCCCAGGAATCCAACTTTGCATATTTTGTCATATTTTTTCCAAAGATAGAACTTATTTTAAATCAAAGAACAGCAAAAGAAATCCCACTAGGCCATCTGAGAAAATATATTTTTTCTTAAATCTGTCTTTTCAGAAGTTCTTACAGTTTGCTTCCAAAATCCACATGACATTCTTAGAATCGAGTATCATGCTGTACATGGCAATTTTTTACAACATGAACATTAAAAAGAAAAAAGGCAAATACTCTGAAAACATACAAAACCTCTTCAGAACCACACTGTTACCAGAAATCTGGAGCAATGATCTATTCAAGAAATGGACATAAACAAGAAGAGAAAAGACAATAATGTTTTCTTAACTTTCAAGAAGTGCACACAGAGATGACATAAACTTTACTTCCTGAAATCTTGAGGTCCTTAGATTTAGGCAAGCCAATACCAAATCACTACAGTCCACGTTTCTATTCTGTCTGCAGATAAAAGGAATCATTTCTACATTTAACTCAACAGGACAAATATGTTAGTAAGTGTTACAAGTGCTTTAACAATATGATTGTTAAGCCAGACAATGCTGAAGCTAACCTCACATTTTTTCAATCAACAAATGAGGGACTTACTTTCTTTTTAGAAGGTGTACTAGAATAAAAACTTGTAATCAAAGAATATCATACTGTTCTAAACAAAAATTGTTCTTGCCGCAAGATCAGAGAAAAGTAGGGTAACTTTATTGATATAAAAATAAATGAACATTTGAATTTGCAGTAACATAAATGTTGCCCTTAATAGCAAAGATCATTCAATGAACAGCAACATGGCTCCTGTAACCAAATATCATCTGGCAATAAAACAGTAACCAATACAACATTTCAGTGCAGCAAGAAACAAACAACTTACTACTGCTGGTGAGGGTACATGAATGCTTCCGACAGACCGCGGGCGAACATGATTTACCAAATGGCAGAGAACAACACCATCCATCAGGGCTGATCCCAGGTCTTCAGGCAAACAAATCTTTAGTCTTGTTTCTATGTTCTGCAAGGAAGAACACATACACACTTTGATACAGAAAAGGAAGAAGGGGGAAAAAAGGGAAAAAAATACCCTCATCTCCTATGCTGTAGATACATAGCCAGTTTTGGAGTTTTGATTTACCAAAAAACAGAATGCCTTTATTCCACTAATTTTTTAGAAACTAAAACACAACCTCCTTTACTCTGTGTTGGTCACTGAATTACACAGACTACTTTAAAAGAACTCAACACTTCAATGTTRCTGCCACAATATGTGTATCTTTTTTTATATATAGATGTATAAAAACACAACTGCATGCAAGTAGCCATGTGAATGAACAGTACGTGGCTCCTTCCATTCACCATTCCCCCAAGTCTTCTACTTACCCATCTTAAATTTTCTTTTATCAACAACACATTGAAACAGAACTTCTCTGTGTTAACGGCTGTACAAGCGGAAAGTAAAAGGGAATCTTTCCCTAGAAGCCTAAAAATTGCTCAGGAAGCATTAGAGTTACCAGAAAAATAGGTTAGGGAATGCAAAACACTCAGATGCAAAAGAGAAATTCTGGATATCTGCTACGAAAAACAGAAGTCTCAACGAACAGAATTTCATATTGCTAAGGAAAATACTTCTGAAAATATCTAAGAACTAAAAAAAAAAACCCCAAAAAAATCCAAATAGATTGTTATATATGATGAGTTTCCTGAATTGTGTTCCAATCTTGAGAATATTCCAACTCTACACCTAGAGATAATTACTCCCATTATCTTGAAGTAGATATTTCTTATTCCTAGTTGAACGTCTTAATGTCATTATTCTCTATTAATATGTTACCTCAACCTATACTGGTTGAATATGAATACATATGAATAGATAATTCCTTTTAGAATAAAAGGATTAAGTAGGTTGGAAGGGATTTTTGAAGGTCACATAGTCTAACAAATTTGAAGTGACACCAGAACCCTGATTAGTTAAATTTAGGATATCTGCAAGGATGGAGAACCCTCAAAGGCTCTAAGCAACTTTATTCAGTATTTCACTGCCCTTATGGCAAAGAATTTTATCCTTATAACTACTTGAAATGTTTTTCTCTGCAATTTGTGCCACTTCCATGGACTCGTTGCTCATCTTTGAAAACCCTGGCTTTACCTTCCCTTCTACAACTCTTCAGGCAGCTGAAGACAGTCATATGATATTCTCAGCACCCTAAAGCATGAAATCCAATCTAAAGGAATCCAGCTCTTCACATCTTCCTCATATATCCTTTATTTGGGTGGCCTTACTATGAAATAACCTCCACTGAAGCTCTCCGGGGTTTCATTGTATTTTCCCAATTTTTCTTTTACTAGACTCAAAGTACTGGCATGCACATTTCACAAGTGGCACAGAGGGGAGTGCATCATGTTCACTAATATAAAGTTTTGTTTTCACCTTGGTTCAATTCACAAATCAGAAAACTTTTTTAGTGTGTAAGTACATAAAAGAGTACACTTTGAGACTGTTTTTCCAAAACATGTTACCAAAATATTTATCCAAATAAATGAATTTAAAATCGATTTGTTAGAACACTGATTTGTCTGTTAGGAGACTATTCAGCATAGTTCAGGGTACACTCTTCATAAAAGCACAGTGTATGTACAATACCAGCTCAATGCCATTTCATACTAGAGTTCATGGCTCTATGGAATCTCACTAAATGCTAACTTACCATGAAACATTTTCAAAAACAAAATTACTAATATACATGTTTATTGAATAAAGTATAAACTTAATGATTTATATGTTCTGGATTATATTCTTGTGCAGGACATAATAAAATGCTCTGGTGGTTACTAACGTCAGCAAAGAAGCCAGTAAACTTTATTAATCTGAAAATCTCACTATGTGTTTTCAAACAGGGTCAGTCTTCTCGCTCCTGTCACCACTACTTGACTTGTAATCAAACTTCTCACCAGAAACAGAAGATTTTTCATTCCAAGACATAGTGTTTGAGGCTGAGAACAAAGGACAGTACATGGAGCTGAAGGTCAGTAACACATTAAACAAGCATTACTGGTAATACTAATACTGTGTAAAGAAATCCTTATTACTTGTCCACATTTATGCGTGACATGGTGAATAACCTGGTTCTGCTTTTCACTGTGAACTAATGCACAAGGCAGGAATCATCTATGATTTTTTTAGGAACCTGCGGACTTGCTACATATTTGTGGTAACTCTTAAATGCTAAAAAACTGTATTAAAGCTGCTGAATAGACTAGGCTCAGAATAACTACAAACTAGTGCAGTTTATTACTGCTACTGCCATTTTCTTCCCCCATTACCAGTAAGTCTGTTTCATCTAATTGCTGCATCTTGTCCTTCTGGCATCATTTAAGTTTAGAATTGAGAGTATACCATATTCTATCAAGTATGTTAAATCTTCAAAAAGAAGTGTTCTGTTAAAAAAAAAACAGGTTAATTTATATTTAAAACAGGTGACAGCCTGAGGTAAAACAATGAAAATCTAGAAGTCCGCATAGTTGGACATTAAAAATGCCACCTTTTAAACACTAGTTGGTAAAGAGAAAAAAGTGAACCCTCTTGCTTTAAAATTAAATAATAGAATACATACTATTTCAAACAAATTGATCATTTTTCCATTAGCCGTTACAAGAAACTAATGCGATAAGAATGAATTGTCTTGTAATTCAGTTGTGATGTGAAAACCACTTTTGACTCTCAGAATTTGCAGTGATACCCTCTGTTCTGTTAATGAGATATAACTGGAAACCTTCTCAAGCTCAGGCTTATGACATTCCTTGCAGCAAAGGTTGTCATCTCTTTCAAGCACAACCAGGTGTCACACAAACAGTGCTACTGAGGTATTGGTTGTGTAACACAAACCCTATACACCAATTTTTCCATGAGGCTCTAGATTCTATGTTCAAGACAATGTACAAGGAAACTGCTTCTGTATTCAAATCTTTCAGTGATGAAGTATTGATTTAATTTCTAAGAAAGTTGCTTCAAGCATTAGTTATCTACTTTCAGCTTTATCAAATAAATTTCACTACATCTTTTACATGTCAAACTGAAAATTTCTCCAGCTGTTTGTAAATAGTCCTTGACCTCTCTCTTACGAAAGAATACTTCATCATTTCTCATTAAACTAAATAAATCATTAATTCCACCAGTGCAAGACATGTTGATTAACTGTATGTCATTCAGGTAACTCACGTTATTATTTCCCATCTTTACAAAATCTTTCTGAAGTACAGACATCAGATTGTGATAAAGCACTTCAGCAATAGTCTCATCAATGTGATCTGTAGAAGTAATATTGCCTCATTTAACCTTTTTTATATTTCTCCTGCTTAGGCAACTTTCCCGAAGAAAAATTTAAAAAGACAGTCCATCAGAATAAACTAATTCCACCAACACTCATACCTCACGTAGCTGTTCCACAAGCTCTCTCTCCTCTCTCATCTGCTCCATCTTCCTTCGAATTGTGAACTGTGGATCTATTGATTCCAAATTTCTTTGTGGTCTTAAGAACACTATGATTTTTAAAAAGAGAGATTTTAGTTTAAGAACAAAACAATTAGATTTATTTATTTCTAAGTCAAGCAAAATCCTTAGGCACTTCCTCCAAGCAAAACCAGAAAATTTTCTTGTCCTTAGGAGGTCAGAAAAATCTGATCTTGGATTACAGTCATGAATGGCTGTTTTCTGGATATTGCTCTAGGCAGTGTCCTGAGGCATCAGTAGCGTGGATAATTTGTCATCCAAATCCTAATCTCAACAGGCAAATTTTGTCAGATGATTAAGCACCAGTAGCGTCCTTTAGAGAGTCTGATCTGTATACCCCTTTGTATTTAACATAGCAGGAAATACCTCTTACTCTTTTAAGTGGAACTCTCTCTTAACAAGATGCTGAATTGTGTAACAAGCTGTGATAAGCTTCCTACACAGAACAAAACCTTACTAGATAAGGTTATGCTAAAAAAAAAAAACACCCACCAAACAAAGACCAATGTAGGAAGACTCAGCCATTCAGTAACTGCCTACACTAAAAAGTTATACAGCAAATGTAGCATTACACAAACTCCTGGCAGTTCTCCTTCCCACCAGTCCTGTCGACTCTATCACTTTGCCCACATATAGTTCCTTAAAATAATCACATGATATTTCCCCAAATATGCACCTCTCCCCTTCTGCTTTTGTGATCAGTGACTGTTTTGAATGGTTTGGAAGAACAAGAAGTATGGTCAAAACACAACTGTCGCCTGTTTGTGACTTTGTTTGCCATCTCACACAAATCTAGTCATGAGGATTCTCACCTGTGTGCAGGTTCACCTGCGTGCAGGCTGCTAAAGTAATAAGATGATTGACCTAAGCTACTTCTCTAGCCAAAGGGACAGACAACACCTATGCTACTTCAGCCAAACGGTAGAAAGTTCTTTCCCCTAATTACTACAAAAAAAACCTTAAGGCAAAAACCTCCTTGCATATCTTCAGGCTAATCATCTGAGGCATCAAGATAGAAAAAACCATGGCCAGTTACCAAACTTGCTTCCTTCCCGTACTTGACTCGCAGAGTCCTAATTTAACTTTACTCAGGCAACTGAAATTTGCTACACTGCTGTCAAATCAGTGATTTCTGCAATGCCCTATTAAATGCTATTTCTTAAATAGAACTGTTTTTAAATAAAAAAACCCTAAATACTACAGTTTCATATTAGAAAATTCTTTTCTTCATAATGTCATCAGAAATCCCAGTGGCAGAGTGGGACAGCATCCTGTAGAGGATGTGCAGGACTGAGTACTACAGACAGCAACTGCAGCTCAGCTCCCTTCTCCAGGTGGACTACACATCTTCATCAGTGTCACCATTCAGAAGGATCTACACACAGGTGCACASATATAAATAAAACGCATTCTATTTGCTGACCTGCCACACAGTGCACGTGAGTAGCAAGGCCATGCCTTCAGATGCAAAAGGCCCACAGTTTTACTGACATTAAATCTTTGGCTTTGTAGAAGGCAAACTGGATATTTGGAATTAAATTCTATATCCAAAGTAAAGTGTGTGAATAGGTCCACTTGCTAACATTTTTAGAAAGGTGGCAGATGGCTATGACTGCACATGCCCAAATATGCTTTTAGAACACTTGCATATGGTGACAAATACCTAAAATGTTATTCAATAAGATATGATTTATTGATTTTTTATCAATTTATTTTTTGCCACAACAAAAAAATCAAATTCCAAGTTTTTCAAGAGAGAAACCCTTATCAAGGACTTCTATTAACTACAGAACTGTAATGTTTTACATCTCTGTATTAGCAATCCTGTAGTAATTTACTGGAGACTGCTTCTACATTTTTAAGAGGTGAAATAAAAAGCTTCCTACACAGAACAAGTCTAGTAATTGAGTTTTGCTGCCTCTCAAGATGAAATACCTGGATGAAAATCCTTCTTGAATAGTAAAACCACGTTTAAATGATATTTCAAAGCTACTGTAGCTTTATTAGCTAGTAGCAACATTTCAAATGATTATCTACAAAAACTCTAGTACAGAATTATGTTCAATTTTCATAGAATTAGAATATTACAATGGTCTTCATTCAGTCTGGCCACAGCTATCCGTGTTTAGTGCCAAGATCTACTTCCTTCCAATTTCAGATTACAAATGTAATCTGAAAGGTATCAGCATTACTTTGTCAATTCCACCACAAGAAAAAGGCAGACTAATCTCAAGCAGTGAGAAACTACAATTAGAAGCTTTTCAATAAAAATAAGTTTAACTGATTGAAAAACAGAATAAAAAAAAAAAACCTCCACACTCTAAAGCATTCACTCTAAAAGTTTTAGTTATGTACTGAATTTTTAAAAAAAGTGTTCCCATACAGGAAGTTTTGGCAGTCCTGAGTGTTGTTTGCTTCTCAGCATTGCACACAATGTCCAGCAAGGGGAGGCCACACCTCACACACACCTGAATATCAATTTATTACTCTTTCAAAGAGTCAGTTTCTGCTTTTTGAACCCATGGTCAAGCCAGGTTATTATGCAATGCTTGTTCCAATAATTTTTTTTAAAGTATTTTGCACAAGTGTCAACAAGTTAGACGAGTAACAGTTAATAACACAGTATGTATTCAACGTAACAAGGACAAACTTCCTGGTGAAATTTTCATTTCTGCACCGAGTTCCAATGCACATAAGTGCACTGTTACTTCCACATCAAGGAATCAGTGTACTGAGTCCTTAGTCTGACAACTTCAGGTAGACCACAAAATGATTTAACCTGACTCTAAAAATAACAGACAAAAAGAAAGTTGGACTGATGACAGACAGAGATGAAACCAGGCCAGAAGCTTATAGTTGGCATGCTTCTTTAATAGATTTATTCTGTCTAAATTTGAGCAACGGAAATGCAACAGCCTCAATTAAAAAAAAAAAAATGCAGTCGTAGAAGCAGTTTCTGTAACAGCCCAAGATAATAAACACTAACATTTACATTTGGCTTAATTTGAACGACAGGAGGCATCTATCTGTCCCAAATGTACAACCTCGTCTGTGCCACTCCTTTTATTTAGAAGACTAAAACAGTAACAAATACAGGGTTAACACACATCAAATTCTGTACTGATAGAGGCACCTCTAGGTTTCTGTGTTAGAATATTCAACAGCTTCACACCATCATGAACTAAATTCAGTTTTTTCAACTTACCAGTTACAGAATTATATTCCACACTTATTTTCCTTATGGAGATGATTCCTTACATATGCTATCTTTTATGGTTTTATAACCAAGAACACTGAGGCAAACAGCAAATATTGTCAACAAAAGAACTAAACTAAGAACAAAACACCCCCTCTGAAGGGGCTTCACTCCTGAAATCTTGGGTGGTACAAGTGCGACTCTCAGTGTGGCATTCAGTGTGGCATCTGAATGGTCAGAGAGGAATACTTCCTTAACAGTAAGCTAAATGTTTGCATTTAGCATTCAGTATTTGTGGTCTTGGTTTCAATCTAATGTTTTTGACAGTTTCACTATCTTTTAATACCTAAATACCCTTCTAATTTAGGGCAACTGGAAAAACATGGCCCACTTTGCATATTAGTGCTATGTCTCAGTGTATTATGACAATAAGCCCCTGGAGAAAAGCAAAACAAAAGCAGCAGTAACAGAAGTCCCCTAATGTACCTGACCTTCACTATTAACAGCTTACTAACAGTTTCTATTGGATAAAAATCCCTATTTTTGCTTAGCTGACTATTTCAGCTTTGTTTCTTTATGGATTCTTCTATTAAGCTGGTTATRCGTCTGCACCAATAAATGGAGACAGAAGCAGGATATTTCAATAGTCAGTATCTTGGAAAAAAATAATAAAGTGCAGAAGAGAGAGCAGCAAAATTAACTGCTGTTTGAGAACAACTTTATAAACTCTTGAAAATAAAGCAAGTAAATAAACCTACACTAAAATAGTTCTTGGAATTAATATAACATGAAAGGCTGGGTTCCCAGAGTTGAAAACAGTGAAACATCAATCATTAACTTTTGACACTACCAATTCCAGAGCAAAATAAAGTGCATCCTCTGAGGTATTTAGTCTTATGAACATCCCCTGGAGAGCACTGTATTTTGTCCTTAGCTACATGAGGCATTCACCACATACTCATGTTTCTGAAAACACAAAATTAAGTAAATGATATATGGAACACCTACCATTGTCACTGTCTCCTTCAGATGGGATACTGTAGCTAAAGTTGTCCCATGTTTGTGCCTGTGTAAGTGTGTTGAAGGAGATAGGAGGAAAACTGAGGGATGGGTCTGCTGGAGGGGAGTGATAACCAGTCCAGCCATGGTGGCAATAAGGACCGGAGTGGGATAAAAGTGGGCAGCAGCATTTCATATATGGCATCAGGATTGTATGGTAATGGCAAAGATGTAATTCAAAGGTGATTAATACAAAATGCATAAATTTTGAGAAAAGAATGAAAGATGGTGCAGAATAAAAAGAACGAAAAGTTAAATGTTAGTACTTGCAAATCATACATTATATGTGCAATTAAGGCTGTTAAGCTTAGCAAGATCACTGTAACCATAGCACTTCACACAACTCGTTACAACTAAGTTTTAAGAAAAAGTACCCATAGATTTTACATTATAGCCTGAAAAAAAAACTGAACTCTGAATCAGAAGGTAAATACACTAGCCGTGAAGTTTCAATAATGAAACTTTCATAGAATAATAATTTTGACATCTTCGTGTAACTACATAATAAGAACAATTCTCACAAAGAAAATTTACACATCCCAATGAAAACATTATTACAATTTCCCAGCTGATTTTGGAAGCAGCAACTACATTATCACTTGGATTCCTATTTTGTTGAAGGATATTCTGTAAGTACATGTAACACAGATGTTTTCCTTTCATTTTAATTCACCCAATAATAAATGAAGCACTACTTTTATTTCTTGCTAACTCCCCCACCAATATATTCAAACCTACAATGGCCCACAATGCTATCTAAGTATTGGTCCTCCA